TAATCAAAAGTGAAACCCATCACAGAATTCTAAGCTCGAGGCTACAAGGTTCACAAACATCAGATTACATTATAAAAAGCATTTCAAAACTATGGCAATGACTTAACTCCTGGAGAATCCTACGTTTCTCCACATAAACCAAGAAGCAGCAGAAGCATTTGTTAAATTCAACAACCCGCGTGAGCTTTATTAAATTGTTACACAGACAGGAATTAACGGTAACGGTGCAGCTGCAGCGTATTGCGTCTCCTCCAGGCAGCACGGCGCGAGCCACCGATGGTGTGGTGGAACTTGTGGCCCTTGCCAAGGCCACGACTCTTCCGCCCGGCTGATGTCAGCCCACGCATCTCCCTGTGCTTGTGGACAGGCTTGGTGATCCATTGGGTGTCAGGGTTGCGCCTGATGGTCTTGTGGAAGGGATCAATCAGGATCACTTCAAAAAACTTGTATGTGGAATCTTCACCGACCCAATAGGAGTTCAAGACTCTGAGAGCCCCACAGTGACGGCCAGCACGTTCCTAGAGGGAAAAAAGAATGCAGAGGATATAAAATCATGGATGCAGAGCACTCTTCATGCAGAAAAATGAAACTCAAACCTAAAGTTTGGTATAGGTGCTAGAAATTTAAAATTGCCTCAAGCAACCCTGTCTTCCTCAAAGAACTGCTCCCCTTCCAGATGCAAAGATGCTAGAAAAAGTAATAGCTGAAAGGAATGTTGTATTAAAAAAAGGCTGCCTGGATTCCTACATTAAATGGGTGTGAAATGTGTTTTAAGGTATGTAAGGAGCAAGGTGCTTGGTGGATAAAAGAAAGAGCTACTTTGTACACAGAAGCACAGAGTCAGTAAATATCCAGCATTAAAAACAACTTTCACATGTAGATGGAAAGCACAAGTTGCACTTGGAGCTACAGTCATGAAAGACTGATTAGTTTGGACATCCAAAGCTGAAGGGGAGAAAGGTGGTTCTGCAGAGAATAAGCCTACACTGACAGGAGAAAAGGAAGAGCTGATGTAACTAGTCTTTGTTCCACTGCTGGCACGTTAGTGTTTGCTATTCCTATCCTCACTTGTGGTTGGAAAAAAGGAGTCTTAAGTTTAGAAAACAGAAGCAAGCAGAAAATACCGATTATGTAACTCCATCTGCCTCCCCATCAAGGATACTCCTTATTTAAACACTAGAAGTGGGTTTAATCATACAACTTGATCATCACTGTGGGAAAATATGAACCAATGAAGTCCACCCATCTTCTATCCCAATGGGATCCCAACCCATTGCTCCAGTCTTCTGGTAAACTGCACTTGCCTATTTTCTGCATAAGTAATAAAATTCTATCAAGTCCTTGTTTTATTCTAGCAGGTGAAAGCAACACATGTATTAAATATTAAAACACCATCAAGCAGCTTCTATGTGGGAATGGTAGCTGCAGTGGAAGTTTTACATTTCTATTTGAAATACATACCTCTTCCAAAATAGAAGATGTCAGAGTCAGAGAACTTTGAATTAAAACTGAGACCAAATAACCTCTTCCATGAGCTATTGCCACAAGTGAGTGTGTAACTGGCTATCAGCTATCAGAGAACAGCATATATGAAGAACATACCATGAGCACTCAAAACACAGAACTGCCTTTTTAATTTAAACTGTGTTTCCTTCAAATTAGTATGTCCCATTTGTGTTTTGTTTCCCCCACTTTACAAAACCCCACCATATTCAAACTGCTGAAGTCAGCTGTGAATGGTTTTGAAGTCCTGGGAACAGAGAAGTCTTCTGCTCAAGACAGAAAGGCCAAGAGAAGACTTCATTCTTTCGTCTCTTTTTTGAGAGTACAGACTACTATTAATTCTAACGCCAACACTACTACTGTGACCTTACAAAACTTATAAAGATCTCATTGAATGGAAGCTTCTGTTTGAAGTATTTTGGCAGGTAACAACATCTTGCCTAAAAACAAGTTAGCTACCAAGCTTTGTGCCTGGGAGGTACCAAAGTTTTTAATGAAGAACCAGAAGGTCTCTGGCATGCTACAGGCTTTAAGATAGGAACTCCTCTGTACTATGTAGAAGGACCACTACCTAAAGCTGGTAATACATACAGCATGGCAGGGAACAGAGGTGGGATTTAGTGAAATCAGACCTGAGCATATCTGAATTATTTCTTTTGCCTTACCCTTTTTTTTTAACCAGGGTTTATACTAGTTGTATGTCTGTTTTTCACCAGAATTATTGTGGCAAGCTTTATAAGTAAGTGTACACTATGAACATCAATAAAACACCTACGTAGTACTTCTCCCAGACAAGATTTGTAAACAGCTTTTTCATTCGTCTCAATAGTTTTTCAAGACACTCCTGAGGGTCTCCTGCCATCAGCATTCAAGATTTTTACCAGTGACTTGGGTTTTGGTTTGTTTTTTTTTTCTGTCCCTTGAGTATTTTCAGCTTTTACAGACCAAGACCTCCCTAAAGCCAAGTGTTTGAGCAATAATCAAAATAGTCACCTCTGCTACAGACTGAAGACTCCGGGCAAACTTTAGCTGGTTAACACCATGATGCACAGGTTTACCATAGGTTGCACCTTTCGGGACTGGGCGTTTACGACCACCACGGCGAACACGGACACGGTAGATAACATAACCTAAAAGAAATGATAACTTAGGAACTAGAGGAATTCTGGAGTGTAGCAATTTTGATGCCCATACGGTATTTCCAACCCCAAAAACGACATGAAATGCTGCAGAATTAGGTCACTATACCAGTCTGCACCAAAAATCTACAACTGGAGGTGGCCATCACAAAATGATTTTGTTATTTCTATTACAACTGAGTAAGGGAAGTGATAGCCTTGTTTGTTGCTACTGTTTTTCAGCTCCAAACCACAGCTTACAGCACCTTTTAACACCACACTCACAAACACACTAAGAACAGCTACAGCTACACTGTAACACAAACAACCACCCCAAACACAACAGCCCATATTCTGATCGTAGCAAGTACAAGCCATCCACAAGCCTTGCTGAAATCTCCTCACTGAAAATTAGGGAGTTCGTTTTGAAAGTTTACAAACAGTAACAGAAGCGTAGATTCTTCCCTTTCTGTTTTTATACTGAACATTTCAAACTGTTCCAAGGATTTCATAGAATCATGGAGTGGTCTGGGTTGGAAGGGTTCTTAAAAGCTCAGCTAGTTCCAGCCCCTCACCATGGGCATGGACATCTTCCAGCAGACCAGACTGCTCCAGGCCCTGTCCAACCTGGCCTTGAACACTGCCAGGGACAGTGCAGCCACACCTTTGCTGGGCAGCCTGTGCCAGGGCCTCACCACCCTCAGAGAGAAGAGTTTATTTAATACCTTATCTAAATCTACCCTCAAGTTACAGACAGAAGGCCGTTTTCCCCAAGTTTCTTTCACTGACCAGTAACTGTTCACCATCTTGCTTACTCAAGCACATACAGCTGTAATACAGTCAGAGTAATGCATGACAAAACCTGGGCAGAGAAAGGACACCCCTCAAACTGAAGGTACCAAAAGCACCAGTCAACTTTGCACCAGTAACACAGCACACAAACAATTAAAACCAAAGCCCACTTGATCTCCATCTGCCAAAATGGCCACAGAAGGTGTGAATTCAAAGCTACATGATGTTTTAGGCTGTGGTCACTGCTATCAATTTAATACATTTATAACATTAAGTTCACTTTATGCAGTACACCAGTTTCTTGGGGAGTATTTCAGCTGTCACTTAAGGAAGGAAGAAAACTGGCATAAAACCAGTCCACTCCATTATGAAGCCCATGGACATGACCTCTACATCTCATTACCTTGCTTGGCCTTATATCCCAGCCTGCGAGCTTTGTCTGGTCGGGTGGGCCGGGGAGCTCGATGCAAGGCAGAGAGCTGGCGGTACTGCCAACAGCGGACACGCAGGAGGAACCGCATCACATCCGACTGCTTTTTCCTCCATAGCTCCTGGATGTACTTGTAGGCACCCATGTTTGTCTACCTGCTGAATTGAGAGGTCAGTAAGTAACATGCACCACATCTAAATGCAAACTCCTGCGAAGAGGGGAACTGCGTGAAACCATATATGCAGCACCACTGAAACGGGATACCCTCAAGCTGTTTTATACCACTGCCATGTCTGCTACCATGGCTCACACATGGCTAGTCTCCAACATGACACAGGGCTTTTACTTCCTTTTCATGTGTTAAGCCTTAAAGTCCTCAGCTGAGAAATTCTGAAATGCGTGAGAATCTAGTTAACATCTGAAACAAGTTGTAAATATTTACCTGTAAGGAAGCATATGAGAGTGGTGTGGTCTTTATTCTCACGTGTTAATTACCCCTAAAAATATCTGAGCTCTCACACACCTGCAGCAACCAGCAGCTGGAAGTGAACTCCATCAAATCCTGTCCCCCCAAGTCACCATCAGCAAAATGCAATTTACTTATACGCACAAAAAAAGGCCCGTTCACGTACGATTTTCCATACCCCTCTTCTCCCTACCCCCCCAGCTACGGCCCAGCTCTTCCCGTCCCAAGCAACTCCATCTTTACGATTACACTGACACACAACACCGCAAACCCGGAGCCAACCCAGGCCGTACAATCTGTAACCACCCGCTGCGCTGCGCCGCTCGGTCTCCCGCTCACACCAGCCAGCGCTGCGGGCCCCCTCCCCGCCCCACACCGCGGGCAGCCCGCCCGCCCACCGCGACACGGCGCAGCCCACAGGCCCTTCGTAGGCCTCCCTGCCCCCGCGGGGTGCAGAGAGCCCCTTCCCGCGGGAGCGGCCACATGGCGGCCCGCCGTGGCGGCAGTGGGGCGGGAGGATGGGTGCGTCCGGCCCCGGATGGATGCGGATTGACGGAACGGCCAAGCACAAACCCACCCTCACCTGATGGCGCCCAGCACCGGAAAGGAAGAAGCCTGCTGCCCACAACCCCTTGCGGCGGCACCACGCTTCCGGCCGCCGCCGCGGTGCCTCATGGGTAGCGTAGTCCTGAAGTGGGAGAACTGCCCGGCCACTCTCCTCGTCCCGCCCCGGCCGGGCCCGGCCTCCGCGCCTGCCAATGGGCGGCAGGGGCGGGACTGGTCCCGGCTCCATGGGGTCCCGAGGGAAGCTGTGCCCAGGTGCGTGGGGGGGAGGTGGGAGACACGTTAAATTATAACGGGGGAGAGGGAACCAAAACAGCCCTAAAGCCTTTGGGGGAGGTGGGGAGGGAGCCAGCCGCCGGTGCCGCAGGCCTAAGGGGCTCTGTGGCAAGGGCCGTGTGACAAGGTGAGCGTCTGCCCGCGCTGGGGCCGAGGCCCTGGCTCTGCCCGTTCCCGTTGTGCTCCCGTCTCTCCTGCGTACCGAGCGTTTCTGTGCCTTCCCTTCTCCCCGGCACTAGCAGAGGTGAATTGTCAGGCCTAGGGAAGAGGCCTGGTGCTGAGGGGACTTTGTCCCGCTTTCTGCAGCGTCCTCAGTGTGCTGCTATGGAGGTAGTGGGGAATCAAAGCTGGAATTAGGCTTTCCCTGACTGAAAGGGCCTCCTGCTTTGCGGTGGGGTGACCTCTCCATCTTTTGGTGTATGTTTTGCAGGGCACCCTGGCTTGTGAAGCGTCACCTGGCTAACCTGGAATTGAAGCAGGACAACACCAGCCCCTCCTAGTCCTAACAAGGTACTCCGCAGCTGTGTCTGGGGCAAACTGCTTCAAGTAACAAACTCAGAGTTAGGGCCCATGGCCGGCTTCTGGAGGCCTCCTGCTAGGACCAACCCCCACCCATCCAAACTGACTTAAAGCAGATGAAAACCCTGCTTTTGCATTTGCTTTCCTGTGTTTCTGCCTTTAACACTTCTATTTTTGAGCTCATAGCCTGTAAAAGCTAGAATCTTTCTATGTATGAAATAAAAGGGAAGGTATTGCTGTTTTGCTGCAGTTCCAGAAGCCATCCTGATCCCACCAGGTACCATCAGGCCCACTGCAAACCCACGAAGCCAGTAACGCAGGTCTTTCAGCATACACACACCAACAAACACAGCCTTTGCCCCAGAGGGATAACACAGCTTCAGTCTCCCCAGGCCTGATGCGACAAGTGTTGAGGCTGCGGGCAAGCATCATCAGCAATGGCAGCAGCATAAAACCTGAGAAAACGGTGTGGGAGGAAACTCTAGTCCTAAAAATACCGGCTCTGGGGGGGGAGCTGTGCCTCTCAGCAGCCGCTGCTTCCCACTTTGCCTCTCACCTTTTGTGGGCTTCATTTGTGCCTGGTGCCAGGCTCACAGACTCCTGTGTCTGCACAGGGCTCGCCTGCTGACTCTGCCCTCTTGGGAAAGATGGGAAAGGGCTACAAGGTGGTGGTGTGTGGAATGGCCTCGGTGGGAAAGACTGCGATTTTGGAGCAGCTTCTCTATGGAAAGCACACTATTGGTGAGATATTTTTGCTTTTTTTGCTTCCTTTTCCAGCATCTTGCTCTGCGTGTTTCCCAAAAACACAGTAAAGGAGGACTGCAAACTGCACCGGGTGAAGGAGGAAATTAATGTGTGTTTGTTGCATCTCTGGGCAGTTTTTGAAATTCATAGCCCCTTATTTACCCATTTTTAAACAAGGCTTGGAGAAGAACCCTTTTTGTGGTGTTCCCAGTTAGAAAATATGTGAATGCTTAGAAAGAAACAAACACAGAAAAGTAGATGATGTGCTTGCTGCCTGTTTACATAAGAAATATCTCATTCCCTGCAAGATGCTGTAGATGCCTGAAAAGTAAATAGATCTCTTCTGATGAGTGGAGAGACTGTTCAGACTTTTATTCCGTCTCCTTAAAGCTTTATTTTGCTTGGGTTTGGCTGATATTTAATCAAAGTGCTGGAAAGAAAACCAGTTCAGCCGTAGGTCCCATGCTGTGTGCTGAACTTCAAGGGCCAAGCTTGGAGTTCTGAAATAAATCCTCCCATGGAAAAGGGCCTTGGGAGAGGAGCATGGGATGTGTGAGACTTGCTGTGCACAAAAGAAAGGTAATGAAGGCAAAGCCATCTTGTTTCCCTCTGTTTCCACATGATTTGTCTAAGAGAGGAAGCACAATGATCAGCAGGCTGGCAAAATATTCCTGCCTCAACTAGGAACAGGTGCTGGCACCAGGGGTGAATCTTAGGGCTTTGACAGAAGATATCTAGTCAGTTTGTATCTTTTCCTTGGGCTGGTAAGTGAAGTGGACTTGGAATGAGTTATTGGATAAACACTAGGGTTTCTAGAATGGTGCTTTGCAGTCACTGTGCCTTTAAAATGTGTGGATGGGAGGAATTTGCTGGCAAAGCGTGATACAGAACTGTGTGCTCATGCCCTTGTTTCAAAGGATTTCCTCTAATATTGCAGTAACGTCTGTTTCCAGCATCCTACTGAGCCCTACGCACGTAGCCCTGTGTAGCTTTCAGCGTGAAGGTTGCAAAGCCTGCAGGCTAAAGGTTTTTCCCATTGCCACTGAGCTGCCACTCCTCTGCAGGGGGCTGGGTGGCTATAACAGACACCCAAGCAGCATGAGCAAGGCCACATTACTTAAATCATATTGCCTTGCATTACTTCCTGCCCCGGGCTCCTATTAATGACCCAGGCAGGAAGGATATTCGGGTGTTGCTGATCAGAGGAGCTATTTATGGAGCCAGTCATGTACATGATTATACAGCGTCATGGGTATTGGCTGACATAACCGGAGGGAGGCCTTGTGCCCAGGGTTTAGCTGCGGGTGTCCCTCTGTCACTCCTGAATGCTCTGCTCCAACTCAGCCATTGTGCAATGCGAACTTCCCCCCTCCCTTCCTTAAAAATATTAGTTTTCTTTTCCCACAGCACTGCTCTTATTTTTCGGAGTTAACAGTAAGGGGAGGAGCAGCTGATAGCAGAGGAGACAAGGAGGAAGGTAGTCTTCTGTTTTCTATTATTCTGGTCAAATCTTATTCCCAAGACATTTAGAGAAAGAGGGAAAATAGCAGAGCTAAGATGAGAGTATGCAAAGGGCTCATATGGAGCCATTGCAGACCCAAGGGACAAGCAGCAATGTCCCAGCACGTGTGCCATCAGGCATATTTTGGGGTATGGACTGATATGTTGGTATTCCTGGCAGTCCTGCTGAGTGGTCACTATCCTCCCTGCCTCTTCCTCAGCCCACAGACAGTTCTGGCAGAGGGTGCTGGGCTGCTGAAAATGGTTCCCAGAAGATCTTTAGCTACTGCTCCAATCTGTATTAATTTAACCCTCAAACTGCAGAAGCAGGACACCACTATAAGGGTCTCACTGGGCAAGGATGGAGTTTGAATGACAGTGAGTCTTTGATTGCTCCTTAGCTGAGCTGCTTTACACTGCACGGACTCATTGCTGCTGCCATTGTCACAGGGGTGGCCCCTTCACGCTTAAAATGTGATTACTGAATCTTGATCCTTGAGCTCCAGAAAGTTGGCATATACATCTTGGCTGCTGGCCTCTCTGGCAGGAGGCGAAAGGGACTAGTGTGTTTGCTGAAAGCCTGTCTGTTCAGAGCCAGTCAGTAAGGCAGCCCAGCGGGTATGGCAACGTGGACACAAGCTGTTCCAAAACCTGTGCTTCCTGACTGACGTCAGGAGCAGCTCTGCGGCTGGTCTGAGGGCCAGAGAACCAACGCATGGAGTCTTTCCATTCCTGGTGGCATCCATATCCTCCTCCTAGTAACAAGAAGCATGCTCAAACTTGGTTGTAGGCTCAGAGCAGCACAGGTTCTGGTGCCAACCTCTGTGATGTCCCAGCCACTGACATGGGGATCTCCTTGTGGCTGTAATCATCTGTGAGACTGTGTCAGTGCTCAAATGCCTCCTGTTGACTTTGCTGTCAAAAGGAGTGGTGGCAGAGCTGCTATCAGGGAAGTGATTAATGTCCTTGGAGGTTTCAGGTTGCTATATAAAGCCCTTGGCTTTGAGCCTATGCTCCTGGCTGCGTACTTGGTCATGGTGCTGTAAACCTAGCTGTGCTTTCTTTTCCTAGAAAATGTGCACCTTCAGCTCTCCCTGGCTTGTCACAAATTAAGTCCCTAAGTTCTGCGTTTCTTACATGGTCAGCAGCTGACACTCTTGGAAAGGCACTCAGATTGCTTGAGGTCAAAGAGGAAAAAGTAGTCAGGAGGGAAGAATACCCCCAGAATGGAATATCTGTCCCTGGACCGTGTGAGCAACAATGTGTAGTGCGACACACCTTTGTGCTGGGCTTTAAAATTGCAAGAGCAGCTGTTTGTTTAGCATGAGAAAGGAAAGGGCAAAAAAGTGAGAGAAACAGAGATGCATAAAGTAACATGTAGAATCATAGAATAGTTAGGGTCAGAAAGGACCTTAAGATCACCTAGTTCCAACCCCCCTGCCATGGGGAGGGACACCTCACACTAAACCATCTCACCCAAGGCTTCGTCCAACCTGGCCTTGAACAATGCCAGGGATGGAGCATCCACAACCTCCCTGGGCAACCCATTCCAGTGCCTCACCACCCTCACAGGAAAGAATTTCCTCCTTATATCCAATCTAAACTTCCTCTGTTTAAGTTTTAACCCGTTACCCCTTGTCCTGTCACTACAGTCCCTAATAAACAGTCCCTCTCCAGCATCCCTATAGGCCCCCTTCAGATACTGGAAGGCTGCTATGAGGTCTCCACGCAGCCTTCTCTTCTCCAGGCTGAACAGACCCAACTTTCTCAGCCTATCTTCATACAGGAGGTGCTCCAGTCCCCTGATCATCCTCGTGGCCCTTCTCTGGACTTGTTCCAACAGTTCCATGTCCTTTTTATGTTGAGGACACCAGAACTGCACACAACTCCAGGTGAGGTCTCACAAGATCAGAGTAGAGGGGCAGGATCACCTCCTTCAACCTGCTGGTCACGCCCCTTTTGATGCAGCCCAGGATACGGTTGGCTTTCTGGGCTGCAAGCGCAGACTGCCAGCTCATGTTCATTTTCTCATCAACCAACACCCCCCAAGTCCTTCTCTGCAGGGCTGCTCTGAATCTCTTCTCTGCCCAACCTGTAGCTGTGCCTGGGATTGCTCCCACCCAGGTGTAGGACCTTGCACTTGGCATGGTTAAACTTCATGAGGTTGGCATCAGCCCACCTCACAAGCGTGTCAAGGTCCCTCTGGGTGGCATTCCTTCCCTCCAGCGTATCAACCGAACCACACAGCTTGGTGTCATCGGCAAACTTGCTGAGGGCGCACTCAATCCCACTGTCCATGTCAGCGACGAAGATGTTGAACAAGACCGGTCCCAACACCGATCCCTGAGGGACACCACTCGTTACTGGTCTCCAGTTGGACATTGAGCCATTGATGACGACTCTTTGTGTGCGGCCATCCAGCCAGTTCTTTATCCACCGAGTGGTCCATCCATCAAATTGATGTCTCCCCAATTTAGAGACAAGGATGTCGTGTGGGAGAGTGTCAAACGCTTTACACAAGTCCAGGTAGATGACATCAACTGCTCTACCCCTGTCCATCAGTTCTGTAGCCCCATCACAGAAGGCCACCAAATTGGTCAGGCAGGATTTCCCCTTAGTGAAGCCATGCTAGCTGTCACCAAGCACCTTGTTGTTTTGCATGTGCCTTAGCATGCCTTCCAGGAGAATCTGCTCCAAGATTTTTCCAGGCACAGAGGTGAGACTGACTGGTCTGTAATTCCCTGGGTCATCCATTTTCCCCTTCTTGAAAATGGGGGTTATATTTCCCTTTTTCCAGTCATCAGGAACTTCACCTGACTGCAATGATTTCTCAAATATGATGGCCAGCGGCTTCGCAACTTCATTCACCAGCTCCTTCAGGACCCACAGATGGATTTTATCAGGTCCCATGGACTTGTGCATGTTCAGATTTTTAAGATGGTCTCGAACCAGATCCTCTCCTATAGTGGGCCTAAGGTCTCCCTTCTCACAGTACTTGTGTCTGCCTTCCAAGACTTGGGTGGTGTGGTCAGAGCCTTTGCCAGTGAAGACCGAGGCAAAGAAGTCATTCAGAACCTCAGCCTTCTCCAAATCCTGTGTAGCCAGTACTCCTGAGAGCTTCCTGAGGGGGCCTACGTTGTCCCTCGTCTGTTTTTTATTTGATATGTTCCTGTAGAATCCCTTCCTGTTATCCTTAACATCCCTAGTCAAGTTTTATTCTAACTGGGCCTTAGCTTTCCTAACCTGGCCCCTAGCTTCCTGGACAGCATCCCTGTACTCTTCGCAGGCCTCCTGTCCTTGCTTCCACCTTTTATAAGCCTCTTTTTTCCTTCAAAGGCTCCTCAGCAGCTCCTTATCCATCCAAGGAGGTCTCCTGGCCCTCCTGCTGCACTGCCTTCTAGTTGGCATGCAACACTCCTGAGCTTGTAGCAGGTGATCCTTGAATATCAACCAACAGTCTTGGGCCCCCCTACCCTCTAGGGCTAAATCCCATGGAA